GCAGCTCGTGATGTATTTCTTTTATATATATATATATATATATATATATAGTTTACAGAACAAACTGCACATTTCACCCTAAATTGTTTGGTGTGATATGATTCCAAATTTAGGGGGGACAAAGTGGGGGCCAAGCTTGTTGAACCCCCCCCCACACATTGTCTCTTTCACAGTATTTTTAGCAGTATACAGTATATACTACACAGAATGCAGTAAACTAATTCCATTCTGAATGCAGCCGACAACTGCAGCACTGGCCACAAGAGCTGCAGTGGGCCGAGAGATGGAAATGCTGCAGAGGTCTGAAGCCACCCCACCCCGTCTGTGTCCATGGCCTACCAACACTGCCACACCATTACATAACACTACTGCAGAGAGAGAGAGAGAGAGAAAGAAAGAGAGAGAGAGACACCCACTGCTACTGTCAGCCAAGAAGGTAATAAATCACGCACAGACACACTGCAGGATTCTCCACACCTAGCAGCTAAACAGTCTTGTACATACAGTCATTTCACACCGCAATCACAACAGACCACATTTTGGAGTAGAACCAAACATAAACAGACTATTACTGTATGTTCAGCTTTCGTAAAATGATAATTGTATGTGACGTAACTCACTGAGGCTGTATTGTGTGTGTGATTGTACAGACATGAGACACACCTGTACAACACAAAACACTTCCGTCAGCATCTGTGAAGAATGTGTGTGTGTGTATTTACCGATGAAGAAGAAGGACACGGGTGTGTGTGACAGCCGCAGTGTGCGATTACGTGTGTTTATTTGATTTCATAACTAGAGCCAGTACAGCCCTGAGGCAAAATGAAGATGAAAAGGGGATTCCTCTGTGTGCTGATGAACGGAGGAGAGTGTTGTGGAATGAATAACAAGTCATTTACGCAATCACGACTGCTAAATCACCTAAGAAACCTTCTGTTGGATACAGAATGGGAACATGAGAGAAAAAGAAAAAGAATTGGAATGTTAACTTTGCTTAAGAAAATGTGAGTGGTAAAAATGAATCGCCATAATGCAAGGATGTTGTAGGTGGTTGCTAGGACATTTATATGAGGTTGCTAAGGTATTTTATCTTTAGGCTGTATTTAATTACCAAGAAAAGGGTATTTAAAAAGTTTATTTTAAGGTTCATTTCAATTAACGCTGTAAAGCCTGAAATATTATTGTTTATTTATTTTATTAATGGAACACTTTATTTAACCTGCAGATATGTTTTTTTGCGGAGTATCATAATTGATACATCAGGCTTTTATGGCTCATATGATATAGGAGAACATGGAGTTGATTCTCAAGTAGGGAAATAACACCTCAGTTTTTTATCAAGTATTTAAACTGAGTAAAAATATGCAATTTGGTGCAGTTGCTAATATTTATATGGCCAAAAAGTAAGCTGAAATTCTGATAGCTTGTAATGTAACTGAGATCTTTAAAACAGTAAAGAAAACGACATAAATTGCATATAAATATAATTTGTTACTCTATATCTCCCAATTAAATGTCTTAGTAATATATTTAAATGCTTAGTCTTATGATTAAAGCTCTGTAGTTTTTATTGTGGTAAAACATATACAATTTATTATTATTATTATTATTTAAATGTAATGAAAATATTATTGTAATCAAAATTATGTCAATTCAAACATGCTTTTTTTCTTTTATGAAAAATATTTTTGATATTCTTGACAGGTGTACATGTCCAAATTCTACTACCGTATGTTAAATAATGTTACATTTCAGAAATAATAATACTGATACTTATGTCAGCAAACAGAGCTAAAAAGAGCTAAACACAGCAAGCTTGTCAAATGCGTCTGCAGGTGTAGAGAGGTGACCCGACAGATCAGGCGCTCTGCAGTAATAAAAGAGAACAAACGCAGATTAAGGCCTGTATTACCTTCCAGGAAGTATAAGTGTGTGTATGTGTGCGGCATTCTGGGGCTAAGGGGCGAGATCTGTACATAAACCTCCTTACAAATCTCTCTCGCCAAAAGATTCAGCAGACGCAGCAAAGAAAACTCACACCAACACAAACAGACACTCTCCATGTCAATAATAAAACTGCACCTGTGATGGATGTTCTCTCACCCAACAGCCATCATAAATAACAGGTTATAATTAGACTGATCTTTTTACCAGGACGTAAATAAAAAGTACGGCTCAAATTCATCTGCACATGTAATCATAATCAACTTTAACCGTGTAGGAATTTAATTGAGGCCTTTTTGTTAACATAACCTTTTTTTCCGACAGTTCTGACAAATACAGAGGTCAAACTTCCAAGGAGGAATTTAAGACGTGAATTTATTATTAATGAATAATCTTTTAGCTACACATTTAATAATCCACAAGCAGGCCACATCAAGGTTATTGCTCTTTATTGATGTGTTGCAATGATGAGCAATTTACGACTTTATAAAATATACAAACATAACTGCAGGTTTGATTTTCTGGATTAGACACCTACTTTACTGTGATTATCCAAGCGCAATATGATAAAAAAAAAAAAAAGAAAAAACATCACTCGTTTTCCCCTTCCTCCTCCTCCTCCTCATCACTGATGACATATTTTTTGGGTTTCTTGGCAGCAGATTCCTCATCTTCCTCTGCCTTCCGCTTTCCAGAGTTCTCTCCCTCCTAAAAGAAAGGATAAATAAATACCCAACATAAATTAATATCCTGAAGTCTGTTTATGTTGTTAAGATGTCTTCGACCAAAATCATTCATAATTTAGCTTTTCTTGACCATTTTAAGCCTCTCAGAGCCTCAGAATTAAACAGACTTTTTTTTTTGCTACTGTATCTTTAAGACTTTGTGATAGAGACTTTGTAATAAGAGTGGCAAAATAATCTAAAGTTGCGATTCATCTTCAAGGTATAGTTCAGCCAAAACTGAAAATTCTGTAATAATTCACTCACCCTTATGTCAGTCAAAACCCACAAGACTTGTTCATCTTCAGAACACAAAGATAATTTTTATTTCTGTCCATCCAGTGAAAGTCCACGAAACCAAAATGTTCAAAAAGCTTCAAAACTCAAAGTCATAAAAACTTCATACAGTCTTCTGAAGATACATGATCAATTTATTTTAGCTTTGAAAACATCCAGGGTTGAAATCACATGTGCTTTTCATCACATATAAACATTGATCGAACAGAAATTCAAAAACCACTGAGGCTCATTCTCATCTGTCAAACTTTTATAATGTCTTTTGGAAAGTTTTGGTTGCATGGACTTTAATGGATGGACAAAAATGATGAGAGAACACTGAAAATATCTTGTGTTTTGTAGATAAACGGAAGTCGTATGGGTTTGGAGCAACGTGTGCGTGAGGAAATGATAGAATTTAAAGGCGTTTCGTTTGATTCAAGGCTTAGATCTTTTCACTGAAGAAAATGAATGGGAAATATCCATCTGTAACCAAGGCTGCTGAAAACTGGGTAGTCATTGTTATGCTCATGGTTGTGACGTTATTTGTGACGGGGAAGTCGTGGCCTAATGGTTAGAGAATCGGACTCGTAACCCAAAGGTTGCAAGTTCGAGTCTCAGGTCCGGCAGGAATTGTAGGTGGGGGGAGTGAATGTACAGCGCACTCTCCCACCTTCAATACCACGACTGAGGTGCCTTGAGCAAGGCACCGAACCCCCAACTGCTCCCCGGGCGCCGCAGCATAACTGGCTGCCCC